CAGAAAAAAAAATCCTAATTAGTTCCAGCTGCTGGGAATTGTGGGATTGCCCCAGATCTGGAGCACGGATCATTAAAAATGAAGATGCGGATGAAATGGCGTGGTGTGATCTCTGTGACCAGTGTTAGCTAATGATGTCCTCTCAATCTGACACAGCACAATCTACGTCTCATTTATTGTGTATCTCTCTGTCTCTTTCTCATGGCTGCTTCCCCCGGGTGCTGACCGCTGCCGTTTTTACACCTGATCTGTTGTTCTGCTCTCTTGGTTCTACCACAACAGAGCGATTAGCCCTCTTCATCACCCTCCTCATCATCGTGACATGATGTCTCTGGTTTCTGTGTTAGATTCACTGCTCAGAGCCCTGCAGGGTCCTGTCACAGTTTAATAGAGAGTTTGAGGGCCGTTCTGTTGTCTATTAATCATCACTTTGGCATTCATTAATAACTGACCGCTTAAATTGGATCTTCCATCCATACAGTTGTCATGGTAATTAGGGCAACAGTGATGTCACAGCACTGCTGAGATTCCACATGGTCGGAGTGTGAACAAAACCATTCAGTCTTTTATTCTATAGACTCTGTAGTTGTGTTAACAATATAATAAAAGTTTATAGTCTTTTATAGCAGTTTGAGAGGGTATAAATTATGTGGAATAACTTTGTCCTGTTTTCTTTTCTTTTATCTTTTTTCACCATTTTTCACCATTTTTAAACTCTACATAATAATATGGAATATTTTAAGTGACATTCACTGGAGGTAGCTGATGACCTGTTTTGTTTTGTTTTGTTTTGTTTTGTTTTGTTTTGTTTTGAAATCACTCCAGACCATTTTACAATTCTACACAATTATGTGAAATAAGTCTAAATGGCATTTATTAGAGTTAACAAACAACTAAAGCTGATGACAGGTTCTGATTTTGTTTCTATTTTATTTGCAAAATTACTTCACCATTTGAAAATTCTACATAATTATGTTAAATAAATTTAAATGACATTCAGTGGAGGTAACAAACGACTAAAGCTGATGACCTTTTATTTTATTTTATTTATAAAAAAATTTAAATCACGGCAGACTATTTTAAAGTTCTACATAATTGTGTGTAATAACTGTAGATGATATTCACAAACAACTAAAGCTGATGACCTATTTTATTGCATTTATTTTATTCTACATTTCTCCTTTTTAAAAAATATATCAGCTTATTATTGAAATACTTTAATTTAAATTAATTTAATTATTCATTTTTGCAATTTATTTTAAAATGGTAGGAAAATTGTTAGGCTATTAACAAATCATTAGAGATATAAAACCAACCTCAGCTTTTGTGTTAAATGAGAAAAAAATTATAGCATTACACATTGCACAATAAAACCAATTACAATATTTGTTATAAAAACACTGCATAAGGAAGTAGTATCAAATTAACAAAATCAGACAGTTTTGAGACACTCCCCAGATAACCTGATTTTATCTTCATTTTCGGTCAAACTCCTATAATGTCAGCCTTTTCCCACAAGTGATTCTAAAGCTGTTCTGTGAGCCACCAACCCTTGTTTTTGATAAAACTCCCAGTCTGAGTGAGTGTGAGATGGAGAAAGAAGGATTGAAGATATTAATATGGTGTGAAGTGTTTGTGGGGAAATGCATGTCATCAGATTAAACAAAGAAAGGTAAATAAATCCAGTTCTTTAGTTGCATACACAGATATAAATATGTATCTAGGAAATAATGTGTTCATTATGAGCTCATCCATCAGAAAATAAAGCACTGATTATAAAGGAACTGAATCATTTCAGTATGTTCAAGTTACAAATGTCGCAAAAGCTTAAATCTGAGAACCATATTTATTGTCTATCATTAATAGCATCCACAGATGAATAGATATTAGTCTGTTTTTAACAAAATATTTAATCACACTGAAATCAAATACGTTAAATCAGCTAGGCGTCACCAAATAAACTTGTAATTTCATCCATACATTGTTCATAAAAATGCAAACATTACCTTGAGCTAAATAGATCCAAATTAAATTTACCTCGCTTTAATGGCACACTTTATATATTTGTAATGATGAAAAATTTCAGATGATGGTTTTGAAAAGCCCTATTTGTTAAAGGTCATTATATATCAGGACGGCATACAATCAATCAATCAAAAAAATCTTTAACTAAAAACATTTCTGATAATGTAACCCAAATGCTGTTCACTGGACAACACCCACAATACTTGTATTTAACTCGGCCATTGAAGTGAGTGAACAGGGTGTTGTTCTGAAACTCCAGCACACAATTAGTCATAATAAAGAGTGTTGAATCAGATATGCGTGACACTGAGGGACTTCATCTTTGTCAGGTATTAGGTCAGTGTCTGCTATACTGTGGGATAGATGTACTGTTTGTTATATAAAGGACAACAGCAGGCCCGCAAAAACACTGGACATGGATAGGGTGTCAGTATAAAGGGAGAGGAGTTCTGAAATCAGCAGTTGGAGGTGATTCAAGGCTTGGGAGGTGAGGAATTATCACTGGTGAGTCTTCACATATTTTATTTCCTTTTTCATTTTTGACATGCATGTGTAAAAGGCATTAGAGCATCTCGTAATAGTCATCAAGCCTAAGTGACATGATCTTGTGATCAGATATTTCTTCTGCACTCTTGAACTATATCAGGTTGCTATTGTACAGATTTGAAGGATGCAAGCAGACATTAAGACTTCAGCGATTCATTATAAGCATTGAGAGACTCGTTTTCATTTATTACAGGCTTTCACAATATTTTGCTTGTATTTTGGATGCTTATTTTCTTACAGTGCTGACAGAATGGCTCAGTTATTGTGGGTATTTCTTGTGCTCGCTGTAACGGTCAGAGGTAAGCAATGCAATTCTTCGTTAAAAAGGAGCTTAGAATTAACATTTGTCTAATATGAGGAGGTTTCGGATCAGATTAGAAGTTTCAGGATGTGACATTCAATAAAAAGTCATATTTTTCTTTTAAAAATGGCACATTTATGGACATTTACATACAGCATATGTACGCAAACGGAATCATAATTAAGCAAAAATAGAGTTTTAAACACAATGGTATCATGGTATGGGTGCTGCTGGGATTGCTTAACAGAAATGGCTCATTTCAACATCTAATCTATAAATATTTTTCTAAAATGATGAATATATAGCCTAAATATGCATATAGCAAAATGTGAATAACATTTTCTCCATGTTTTTTTATTTATTTCTTTATTATTGAATAGATACATTGCCACAAAGGATCATCGGGGGTCAAGAGGTCGTGCCTTACTCTGTCAAATACCAGGCGTCTCTTCAGGTTGAGAGGAAGCATTATTGTGGTGGAACCCTCATTCAGCCACAATGGGTGTTGACTGCTGCCCACTGCTGGAGACCGTACGTACTGCAGCTTGCTTTTTTTTTTAATCAAATGTCTTTATTGGTAAATTGTATATAAATTGAAGGAAGTTATTTAATTTAAAACCTGCCCTGTATGTTATATTGTATTTGAATGGACAGGGCCACCATGATTCAGGTAGTGCTGAGTGAGCACAGTCTTGCTGTAGAAGAGGGATTTGAGCAAGTATTTAACGTGTCCAGAATCTACAGTCATTTTGCCTACAATCCAAAAACTTTTAACAATGACATCCTGCTCATTAAGGTAAGAAACACATTAACAAATACTAAGAATGACTGATTCTGTGGTACAGATAATTAAATATGTGACCCAGGACCACAAAACCAGTCTTAAGCCGCTTGGGTATATTTTTAGCAATAGCCAAAAAAACATTGTATGGGTCAAATTATCAATTTTTCTTTTATGCCAAAAATCATTAGGATATTAAGTAAAGATCATGTTCCATGAAGATATTTTGTAAATTTCCTACCGTAGATATATTAAAACTTAATTTTTGATTAGTACCGGTAATATGCATTGCTAAGAATGCATTGCTCAAATAGTTGCATCTCGACCAAATATTGTCCTGTCCTAACAAACCATACATCAATGGAAAGCTTATTTATTCACCCTTATGACTGGTTTTGTTGTCCAGGGTCACATATTGTCTTGAGATATACCTGAGGAATCTTGTTAAGGTGATGATGCACGGGGCAACTTTTTGAGCAATGTTGCTGGGTGCAGGGAGACACAGGGCCCATGACCGATCTAAAGTATATGAAATGTGAAATATTCCACATCAAGAATATTTCTGTATGCATTAAAAAATGTGAAATAAATAAATACATAAAATTGGTTCCTTGTCACCATTACAGAAATCGCACAAGTAATCAATATTCAGTTTAAAACCCTCCAGCTTGTTCTACTCAAAACACAGATGAGTTTTTCTTCCATATAAGGCTTTTGCATGAATGCTTGAAAATGAATGCTAGTTTTGAAGGTAAATATAAACTGTGCGAAAATATGAATTTCTTTAGAAAACTGAATTCTATTTAGTTTTTCTAAATGTTGTAACAGATAGAATACTCCTTCAGTATAATTTAAAAAGCATCCCAGGATGCATCTCATGAAGCTGTTTGATAGAATGACCTAGAAGAAATCTAGCTGACTGATGGAATTGTCACAGTTTCGTTTTTAAATACATAAAGTTTACAACAAGCTCTTACTTGCCTCTTTATTGCAGTCATATCCTCATACGAGTCTCTGAACTCTGAACTGAGTAAACAGGATAATCTTTACTCATCCGTCTGGTTACTTACAATTCTGTGCATTAGACTGTTAGACATGGCTGGCCCAAGCCTTTATGGGGTCCTAAGCAGAATTTTATTTGGGGAACCAGAATTTTATTCGGTGTCGCCAATACGACTGATTATTGTCAATTCTTGATTATTCGCACACTATAAATCTAACACACCCATTATCAGTTTTATGTGTTGTAGCTGTGTTGCTTACATCATACCAATGTTTTTACCTTTCTATGATTTTTAATTGTAACAGCAGCAAACCCACAAGAGTGGTCAGGTGTTAATTTGAACTCCAACATTCAAAGTCTTACAGTACTAAGTGGCATACTTGATGTGGTGTACTGAAAAGTAGCTAAATAAACCAGCAAACAATGCATTTACAGAACAGAATGCTATTTTGACAACAAATTATTATACACAGCAGCAAGCCATCTGTACATAAAAAAACAACCTTAATCTATCTAATCCAGGCATAATGATATTGGAATATAATAGCAAAGACCCCAAAGGTAGGCTAAGGTAAATAATGTTAAGCTCGGCCCTCGGCCAAATATTGTCCTGTCCTAACAAACCATACATCAATGGAAAGCTTATTTATTCACCCTTATGACTGGTTTTGTTGTCCAGGGTCACATATTGTCTTGAGATATACCTGAGGAATCTTGTTAAGGTGATGATGCACGGGGCAACTTTTTGAGCAATGTTGCTGGGTGCAGGGAGACACAGGGCCCATGACCGATCTAAAGTATATGAAATGTGAAATATTCCACATCAAGAATATTTCTGTATGCATTAAAAAATGTGAAATAAATAAATACATAAAATTGGTTCCTTGTCACCATTACAGAAATCGCACAAGTAATCAATATTCAGTTTAAAACCCTCCAGCTTGTTCTACTCAAAACACAGATGAGTTTTTCAAAACATTTCTGTTTTTGTTTGAGCGATGAGATGTCAAGTTCTAGCTCAACCAATGGCGTGAGCTTTTGGGCGGGACTATCTGTTTGTTTGCCCAGTGGAAGACGGGGAGAGTGTTTGGGGAAACCTGTTTGGAAACTCTCATTATTTTTGTGATTCCGGCAGAAATTACACACCTTACATGAAGACATATTTATTTTTTCCCTCAGCTCAGTGTTCCAGCCCAGATTAATGCTTATATTCAACCGGCCACACTTCCAACCATAGACAGCCCTGATTTAATTGGAGGAACCAGCTGCACTGTGAGCGGATGGGGAGTGACGCGAATATACAGCTTCTATCTGTCACCGATTCTGCGTGCGGTGGATGTGGCGATCATCAGCTCCTGCCAATACTACTACTACTTCAGAGTCAACGACAACATGATCTGTGCGGGCTCTCGCTTTGGTGGAAAAGACGCCTGTCAGGTAATCAAGAGATTTAAATGCAAATGAGAACTTCCCCAACCCTGGTGGCGGCAAATGGAATAGAACGCAACAGGTCTTTTTCAGTGGCCTTCGCTCCGGGAGTATTTTTCTTATTAACAAAAATTGTATTACATTATAAAAATGTCAAATACACTAATCTTCCTGCACATGCTGTTTTCCTTCACAGGGCGATTCAGGCGGTCCTCTCATTTGTGATGGGATTTTAGAAGGCATTGTGTCATGGGGAATTGGCTGTGCTCTTCCGTACTATCCTGGTGTCTACACAAAAGTGAGAAACTACAACCGATGGATTGACTGGATCATCAGCTCTGACAGCTAAAACACAGGTTTAACTGAATGTGGGAAGGCTTTCCTTCAATCTGAATTAAGTATGTAATTTAACAATAAATCCTACTTCAAGTACTGATGCTTTCACATTGCATCCAGAGTCTCAAAGATTATAGATTAACATGCATATTTTGGACTATAAAAAGCATTGAATTCTTAAATTAACTTTATTTTATCTTATATGTTATGTTAATGCATATTTTCATTCAAATTTCTAGGGGTCCTAAGCAGAATTTTATTTGGGGAACCAGAATTTTATTCGGTGTCGCCAATACGACTGATTATTGTCAATTCTTGATTATTCGCACACTATAAATCTAACACACCCATTATCAGTTTTATGTGTTGTAGCTGTGTTGCTTACATCATACCAATGTTTTTACCTTTCTATGATTTTTAATTGTAACAGCAGCAAACCCACAAGAGTGGTCAGGTGTTAATTTGAACTCCAACATTCAAAGTCTTACAGTACTAAGTGGCATACTTGATGTGGTGTACTGAAAAGTAGCTAAATAAACCAGCAAACAATGCATTTACAGAACAGAATGCTATTTTGACAACAAATTATTATACACAGCAGCAAGCCATCTGTACATAAAAAAACAACCTTAATCTATCTAATCCAGGCATAATGATATTGGAATATAATAGCAAAGACCCCAAAGGTAGGCTAAGGTAAATAATGTTAAGCTGTTATTAGTACCAAGTTTATGAAACATTATTAGGTCTATTATTAATGAAACATTATTATTACACAAATATATACCCAGGAAAGCTATTTTTACACAATCAAAACTTTAATCTAAAATTAGCTAAGTAAAATGTTATATTATAAAACCCACAAGAGTGGTCAGGTGTTAATTTGAACTCCAACATTCAAAGTCTTACAGTACTAAGTGGCATACTTGATGTGGTGTACTGAAAAGTAGCTAAATAAACCAGCAAACAATGCATTTACAGAACAGAATGCTATTTTGACAACAAATTATTATACACAGCAGCAAGCCATCTGTACATAAAAAAACAACCTTAATCTATCTAATCCAGGCATAATGATATTGGAATATAATAGCAAAGACCCCAAAGGTAGGCTAAGGTAAATAATGTTAAGCTGTTATTAGTACCAAGTTTATGAAACATTATTAGGTCTATTATTAATGAAACATTATTATTACACAAATATATACCCAGGAAAGCTATTTTTACACAATCAAAACTTTAATCTAAAATTAGCTAAGTAAAATGTTATATTATAATATATCAGGGTTGCCAACATTGGTTGCCTGGCTGGAGTGAGATACATGAATATATAACACAAAATAAATAAATAAATACACACTGCTCTTTGCCCACTGTTTGTCTAAAGTGTACATTTTTTTAAACACTTAAAATATTTTAAAGCCTATATTATTTTTCTAACTCTACAGTTGTGCAGTAAAATTCACTTTAAAGATTCATTTTTCATTCATGAAGATGGAAAAAAATGGTAAAAAATGTGTCTCCTGGTGGAAAACAAAGACTTAAGATGAAAATTACATGAAATGACCATTATAACCAGTAGATGGCAGCAGAGGATCACTCATCGGCTCAGTCATTTCCACTCCCTAGTTTTTGTGACATTTTGTTTTTGGATTTATTATAAAACGATTATCATACCAAATTTTTATACTTTTACTGTACTAAAGTATGAATAAATAAGTTAATTAGTAATGGTATAATAATTAAATAATAATGCATTAGGTATTTTATCTTTAACGTTAGACGCTGCTAAATATTCAGCCAGCAGACTTGTCGCTGCTGTAGGTTTGTTACTCTGAATTTACTCTGCATCACTTAATGCACAGCTCTGTTTTGACATCGGCTTGTCAGATAGTTCATTCCGTTCATTGCTACAATATTTATCACTGTCAATCATAGCAATGACTCACGGAACAATTTAGCAGATTCACTCACGTAAATTTTTTGCGTTATTTGTCATCCCTGAAACAGTATGACTAACAAAACTTTTCTTCAGATTTTAAATGGATTATGTGAGAAACCTTTTTTTCTTGTTATAATGGGAAGATCTGCGAGCGCGTAGAACTCCATAAACAATTAGTTCAGAGCGGATTCTGACTGACCTACAGTAAACACCTCTGATCTGATTCTGATCTGATGTGTGCATGATGTTCGCTTAGTTCGCTAATGCCTTGGGCCAGCTCTGCTGTTAGACATTTCAAAGGGTTTTTACAGTAACTTACTGGCAACAGTGAGTTACTGTAATTAAGACTTACAGTACACTCTAAAAAATGCTGGGTTGTTTCAACCCAACTTTGGGTCAAAAATGGACTAACCCAACTTTTGGGTTAAAAATTTAAATAAAAACATTTAACCCAATGGTTGGGTTAGTTCATATTTGACCCAAAGTTGGGTTGAAACAACCCAGCATTTTTTAGTGTGTACAATAACTGTATTTAACTTTTACAGTAACTATCGTGTAATACAGTGCAATTACTGTAAAAAATCCAAGTCATCAGTGTACTACTGTAATTCCCTAATTTGAATATAGATTTCAATAGATTTTGTAATTTTTATATAGAATTCATTTTATTTTTATCCTACATAGGTACTACTGACATTCAGTTCAAACAGACACAATTATTACAAAATATCAAATGCTTTATTTCTAACATTGCATATATAACACTTAAAAATACTCAGACATTGAGACATACATATATTTTTACCTTGCTTGCTGGTCTTATTCTCTCGTAAGGTGTATCAACTCACAGCGCAGATGTTCTTCGGAGCTCTTCCACTCCCAAGTTCAATCCCTGGGCAAAACCCGTGGCACTGCCGTGCTGGTTCTTTGTCTACCTCGGATGCGAGCGGCGCAACTCGACAAAACACTAAATAGAACCCATTATAATCAGTGATAATATCTACAATGGATGCCGGACAGTAAACTGATGCCCCGGTGTATTTCTGACGAACAGTAGAAGTTTCTGACACGAAGGACAAACGGATTTACCAATCATTATTATTGAATCATTACAAGCGATTTAACACTTTCAATGTAGACAGTGTCAAGCTGTAGCGGCGTTGTCGACACGTTGTAAGGCAAATCCTGTCAATCCAAATGTAAGAAATTAGGAAAATAAAAAACCTAAATGGAATGGCGCCAAAGAGGCTGTTACGGCAAATACAGTAGTATACAGCAATTTAAAAAAATACAGTAGGCCTACCCTCTCTGTATGTGGTGTTTGACGTCACAGAAAATTCCCATGTTGCAAAGGGAATTACAGTTATTTACTGTAAAGGGAATTTGTCCATTGATAATAGATATATTATATAATATATAGATCAGCGGTAGCCTATACAGTAAATAACTGTAGAAATTACAGAAATGTCTAACAGTGATACCTCAATTAGCCTAAATAGTTTCCAATAGTCATGTGAATAAATGATTAAACCACATTTAGGTAAGTGAAAATGTTTTGTTCATTATGTTGACGGTGCTCTGTGTAATGATCGTCAGAAAGGTGCGATGCACAATCCTGTTCGTGCAATTTCACAGCTTGTCATCTATGTGAATTATTAAGTAAATGGGAGTTTTGACATTGCCTCATCAAAATACTCCATGCTAAGTGTCAAAGAGTCATTGCATCACTAATTTCCTCCTTAGTCACACACACACACACACACACACACACACACACACACACACACACACACACACACACACACATTAACTTGTGACTTGAAGCCATATAGTGCCTGGCTGTTAGATAGACAGCAGCATTATGAATAGCTGGAGCCCAGAAGCACTTGTTCGGAAGTCTCAGGAAGCCAGAAATCAGGCATATTGTCCCTACAGCAAGTTCAGAGTTGGAGCAGCTGTCTTAGCAAGCAATGGAACCGTGTTCGACGCTCTAAAAAAATGTGTCTTTGTTATTTGAACACGACAAATACATATATAACATTCAATTTTTTTGGAATCATTACGATTTCTTATCCTCTTATCCTCACCAAAGCTGCATTTATTTGATCAAAAATACAGTAAAAACAGTAATAATGTGACATATTATTCCAATTTAAAATAGCCATTTTCTATTTGAATATATTTTAAAATGCAATTTATTTCAGTTATGCAAAGCTGAATTTTCAGCATCATTACTCTAGTCTTCAGTGTCACATGATCCTTCAGAAATCATTCTAATATTCTGATTTGCTGCTCAAGAAACATTTCTGATTATTATCAATGTTGAAAACAGTTGTGCTGCTTCATATTATGTAAGATAATTTTTTAAAGATTTTTTGATGAATATAAAGTTCAGAAGAGAAGTTCAAAAGTACAGCATTTATTTAGAATAGAAATTCTTTGGATCATTATTAATATCATTACTGTCACTTTTGATTAATTAAATGCATACTTACTGAATGAAATTATTAATGTCTTTTAAGAAAAAACTTACTGAACCCAATCTTTTGAACAGTAGTGTGTATATTTGTTTTGTAGCTATATTTTGTATCTGTGTTTCATAGTGCTTCAGCATATGGTAATGTTTAACAGGTTGTAATGTAGAAAACGCATGCTATACTGCTGGACTGTGTGCTGAGAGGACTGCTATCTCTAAAGCTGTGTCTGAGGGACATACCAGCTTCAAAGCCATCGCAATTACCAGGTATTTCAATATAAATAGATAATTTATTTGTCCTCAGAGAGGAAATTAATTTTCAGACAAATGCTTAAGTTTCTGTTGACAGCGCTTGTAGATACATTGAATATGCTGATTAAAATTGAGATGATCATCCAATGCAATGCCAAGGTATTTAAAATGCTCCACCCTTTCAACCATCTCTCCATTGATAATAATACTGGAATGGATCTGTGTTTTGGAGGAGCTAAAAACCAGTTCTTTAGTCTTTGAAATATTAAGGTGAAGAAAATGATCATCACACCATGTACTAAAGTATGTTATGGAACGTTGATAGTCCAAAAAAGAATCATTATCCCTGTTATTGGGCAGCGCAAGAATGGCGGTGTCATCTGCATATTTAAAATAATGAGTAGTAGTACATGGACTCTGACAATC